CATTCCATGGTTCTGGGACTGTGTGTTGTACAGATTTGTTGGGGAAAGCCTGGGGTCCCTCTGTGTGTGCTGTGAGCCCTCACACCCTCCCTTCAGTCTGTCAGAAAACATACAGCAGTTGCTGTACTTGTGCAACAGTCTGTCCTGGTGCTTTGGGAAGTGGAGCAGGGATACAGCATCCTCGGGAAGCTGCATTTGCTTGCAGGATAATTCCTCCTGTGAAGTAAAATAACAGAAGAGATTGTTTTAATGTGATAACCCGAGTGAGTGGTGGTCACATTGCCCATCAGGGACTTGAGAATTGGACTGAGCACTCAGAAATGTACTTTATTTAGCTTAACACAGTTTCTCCCTGTGCACTGTCTGCCCCTGTCCCTTTTCCCTCCCGGCCAGATGCAGAATTCCCTGCGCTCCCTGCGGAACAGCGCGGCCAAGAAGAGGGCCAAGCTGAGCAGCAGCCTTGCAGACCTGGAGAGCCCCGACCCTGCAGCTAAACTGGATGGCTCCGGGGACTGCCCCTCCCAGGGCTCCTCCCCCAGTGAGAGTGGCATCTACAGCCAGGAATCGCTGCCCTCCCCCGTGCCCAGCCTGCCCCGCGGGAGGAGAGTGATGTGAGTGCCCCTCTGTGTTCCCTCACACGGGCCCTGCTGCTCTTCCTTAAATCATAGTATTAAATTATATTTTCTTTTATGTAAAATTGTTTTGCTCAACAGCTTGATTTTTTTTTCTTTGTGAATAATTTTAATATCTAAAAATGCAAGAGTTGCATGATTATGTTATTCCAGGTTTTTTGTGGCTTGTAAGGTGAAGGAGTTCCCATAGAGCCCAGGGCAGGGAGGCACTGCCAGGGGAAGTAAATATTTGATGAAGACTTTACAGAAGGGACATGACCCATGGCTGAGCAGGGGAGGGAGAGAGAGAATGAGTTAAGAGCAAGGATGAGGTTGGCTTATTATGGCCTGGAAATTGAAGAAGGAATGGCTTGGGTTCTGTGAGAAGGGCAAGACAATATGGATGTTTCTTATTGTGAACAAGAACTGTTTCCATTTCACTGCTGACAGATAATTGTTAGTTTAAAATGCCTTCACAGAACTCTTCTAAATAGGAGTTGGCACTCTGTAAAGGGCAATAACCCAGTTGGTTATGAGCACTATAAACTGTTTTTTAATGAAATAAAGAAGTTTTTCAGGAATTGGCTGGTCTCAGGGTCAATGATAAAGCTGTTTGTAGCTCTGATCCGAAGATACCTTTTATTTTTGTGTGTACTAAATACATCTTTATATAGAATCATAGAATCCTGGAATGGTTTGGGTTGGATGGGACCTTTAAAGATCACCCATTTCCAACCCTCCCTTCCATATGGCTGGCATACAACTGTATTAATAGAACAGAAAGAAGGAGAGGGAATAAAAAAGGAAAGGTTTTTGAGACTGGAATGATTCACAAACAGAAGGTTTTCACAGTTGTGCAGCTCAGAACCAATTTATATTCACATCCCTTCCCTATATACATCACTGCTGAGTCACAGTTTTATAAATAGTATTTAAAATACCACAGTAAAGTGCTGGAATACCTAAAAAGTCAGGGCTCTAAACTCCTGAGTGTCCTGCTGTGCCAGGCAAGGCCATGCCCTGTCCATCATGCCATGGCCATCAGGCTGAGCTTAATGTTTTACAGGATCCACAGAGCCAGGGATTCTGACCCAGCAAGGAGGAGAGGCAGTGAGGCTGACTTTGGAGAAGTGACTGAATCCATCCCAGATGACACTGAAAGCCTTGGAATGTCCATAAAAATGCCAGAGAGTTTAGCTCAGATGGTGGTTTGTGAGCACTGGAATAAATTGGCCTTGTCTGTTCACAAAATATCTGTGGTTGGGCAGCAAGAATGTGGGGTTTGGGTGTGTTTGCTCTTGGAATGATTTGGTTTATCTGCTGATAAACTGCCATGGGAGCTGGATACTGATATTAGTGATGTTCTTGGAGCGTGGACCTTCCTTTGGATCTTAAAGAGTGTTTATTTGTGTGCATTTTAGCCCTAGTGAGACATGGAGCAGCTCCTGTTTCCCTGTGCCCTCACCCAGCTGGGCACAGAGCTCTGGGCTGAATCATCTTTAATATTCAGAGAATCATTAAAAAAAAAAGAAATATTAGTTGTTCTTGTAGATAACAGCATTTTCCTGGTAAACAGGAACAGCTGGGAACAGCTCATGCCTGGGAGTGACAGATGGATTTGGTCACTCTGCTGTGCCAGGCTGGAACCAGAATCATCAGTCCCCAGGCCAAGCAATTCCTTCCTTTTTGAATGTATCCCAAATTTATTCCTGGTGTAAGGTTTCCTCATGAGGGTTATCTTTATGTTGTTCTTCATAATGGACCTGCTCATCAAATAATTCCTCCTGGATTCATTTTCCTCTCCAACTCAGTGTGGGCATTTGTGGAAATACTGGAAATATTTGTCCAGGGAGAAACTGAAATCTGTTGTTGTTGTTGCTGTAAAGTGTTCTTAGCTGGGTTCTGACTAGAATTGTACCTATAAACTGTGTTTATTTGGACAGGTCAGACACCTTTCCACTGCTTGGCAGCAAATCCCATCCTGCAGAAGGATCTCCAGGGAGGAGCAGAGAGCCAGGTGAGGCAGAGCATCCCTGCAGCACAGGTGTGTTCCTGGCAGAGCACACCCTGGTCACTGAGGGCACAGAATGGCCACTGGAGGAGGCTGTTCTCACGTGTTCCGTGAGCTCATGTCCCCTCAGCACTTAAAAGAAGGTCATTTCTGGGTGCCTTGGGGTCTAACTGGGGTTTTAGTGGTGCTCAGGTGAGAAGGAGCTCCAGGCCTGCAAGCAGTTCAGTTCCTGGTGGGAAATTGAGGTTCAGTGGTGCTGTTGAGTTTTACCCTTACAGTGAATTCTGCAGATTCCTGTAATGGGCAGAAACTTGTGATTATTTGTGTTTAATCAGCTTGGATTCAGCTGGCTGGAGGAAAGGAGCTGGGGGAGCTGTGTGCACAGGATGGATTAGGCCATGGGTTTCCCAAGGAACAGCATAATGAGAGAGCAAATCCTGCCTGTCCATGGCAGCCCATGCTGTGGGTAATGGTTTGGCATTCCTTGGATGAAAAGACCTTTGTGAGGCGTTGACCTTCAGTGTAAAATAATGAGCAGCACATTTATTTTGCTTATTGAGCCCGTTAATCAGGCCCTGGCCCTGCTGGGAGTGAAGAGCTGAGAGCCTGATAAGGTCATGGAATCACAGGATGGTTTGGGTTGGAGGGACCTCAAAGCCCATCCAGTGCC